ATGTAAGGAAGAGGAGGGGGGAGTAGGGGTTGGAGCAGAGGGAAGGGGGGAAGCGGCTCCCCTCCCGGGGGGAGGGGATGCCTTAGGGGCCATGGGAGTAAGAGGGGGTTGAGGTCCTATGTCGAACATCAGCTCCTTCGCCTGGGAAATGATATAAAGGTTAAAAGTGCCGTCCTGATGCTATGAATGTGGGCCATTCAGACGAACGGACAGTCACCCATTTCTCCTTTCACACTTTGACCTATTGATTGTTTGCTCGGTCCCGGACATCAGGCCAGTGATCTAAAGTGAGACTCAAAGGGGTTGTTAACGATTGTCCCCCGGTACCAGATTTAGACTCAAGTACAAACAGATATACCAAAACAAAGGACATAAAAACAAAGACACAGAAAAACAAAACCAAACTCAAAATCAGAAGCTGCGCAGCATTACAGATTCAGAAGGAGGTCATGCCTCTTGGGAACTAGAGGAGTGACCTGGTCACTCTTAGCTCCTACGGATACTGGAGTGTCCTGTTACGGATTGAGCCCCGAAGGTTCCAGACACCCTTGCGGGCTGACCTCCGAGGGCCCAGGGTCCTGATGTCCTTGGAACGTCTTCCAGGACTGTGGGGGAGAAGTCCTGGGCTTGTCAGCCCCTTCCCTCTGCCAGGTACAGCGCACCCAGATCTGAGTGTACAGAATTCAACAAAGAACACGGAAGACAACTGAACAAAGAACACGGAAGACAACTGAACAAAGAACACGGAAGACAACTCAACAAAGAACACGGAAGACAACTGAACAAAGAACACGGAAGACAACTGACTCGGAGCTGGCCAGCTTACCTCCTGATGGTGAGTTGGTGGTCCCTGGGTGGGGGGGGTCTCAATTCCCGGCCAATGCACCAAATGAAAGACTCTCGAAGAGGTCCTTCTCTCGGGAGGAGACCTCCCCGACGCCAAGGAACAGGCCGAGACCATACGGATGAAAATCGCAAGAGGTTTATTGGGTAAACACAGGTACCTGTGAGCGGCAAGTCTTTCTGAGGACTTGCATGCCTGCGCCTGCCAACTGGAGGGCGGGTTTTTTTTATAGGGAAGAGCAAAAAGCAAGTTTACAGAAGCAAAAGTGTGGTTATTGGAATGAGGCGGGGGCATGAATGGTTTGAATGGTTTCCTCTCTCAGCATGAGTGTCAGCATAAGTCATCCTGTTCCTACCTTATAGATATCCTGTTTTGCAGTCAACCCGCTTTGCTGATGTCCTATCTTATTGATATCCTGCCTTGCAGTCATCCTATCTCGTAGACATCCTGCTCTCTCAAGCACTTGGGATTTTCTTATGAGAGCAGGCTGGCTGCTGATCTGAGAATTTTTCAAGCAAACAGGGTGTTCCCCCCGGGAGCATGCTAGCTGTGGGTTTTGAGGAGGGGGTCTGTAGGGTCTTTCAAGCCCTTGGCGTACTGTGCTTCCTCCCTGCTTCCACCCCCTTTAACCATGCTCTGTGGGTGCTGAGCACAAAGCTGAGCCTGGAGCAGGGAAGGCCAGTGTCACTGGCTTCACACCCCCGCTCTGACCCCTTTCTAACTTTCTTCTTTGTCTCTGCTTTTCTATTCAATGATTGTCCAGAAAACAGTGTGTTCACAGTCTGAGTGAAGGATGTTGACTTTACAGACGGAGAAGGGCTTGAAAAAAAAGCAGAACAGAAAGCCCAAGTGGATTGGTGATTTCAAAATTATTTTCCTTGTAAAGAAAGTATAGGAGCCAAGACAATGGGCAATTAAGGGGTTAATTAGCACCATGTTACTTGATTTTATGTAGATTAAGCTGAAGAGAGCCTCATTATCTTGGCAATTAAAACTTGCCTGTTTGGAAAACTTGGCTGTTAGCTTGCTAATTTTTCAATATTAAAAATCTTTAAAAAAAATTATGTTGAACCCAGGATCTCACTCACGCCAGGCAAGCCTTTCACCACTGAGAGGCATTCCCCTAGCCATGTTCCATCTTGAGTCCTGCACACTCTCTGAGCTGCGCTGCTTGGGTTTCAGTGCAGGTGAAAATTCAAGGGTCAAACGAGATAAGGACATTTGGACAGAGCCCAGAGAAGGAAGTGCTGGCTGAGCTAGGCTCTCTGCTGCCAGAGAAGGGACGAAGGGACGTGAACTTTGGCATTGACTTCTCTTGCTCTGCTGGAGCAAGGAAGCCCCATAGCCAGATCTCAGCACTAAAGCTGTTGGCTAGGCACCTACCCCAGAATCTTCACCCCCTTTCCCCAAATGCAGCTGCCTAAAACTGAGCCCGTGTTCTCATTCGGGAGTGGTTCTTCCCATTATTTGCTTCGATGAAGGACCCACCATAACACAGCTTGTCAAGGTAGGGTATGTCTTTCAGTTGCTTTCCCCTCACATCCAACGGCCCCTAAAGATCTCTTCACTCTGTCCAAAATGTATCCAACATTTTCCTCTTCAACGTTTCCTCTTCTGCCCTCTTTTATCTCCTCCCTGGCCCTTTATGTGTTCTTGTCCACTTCTCCTCAAGCCTCCTTAGAAGGATAAAGTGACCTTTCTATAAATAAACAGATTCTCACCACCGTCTGGAGGAGCCCTGCTCAGGACCATTTTGTGCAGGAAACGCACACACTGAAATCTCATCTCACCGGCTCTCTTCAGTTTGGTGGCTCCATTCTCTTCCTGCCCCAACCTAGCTAGTATCTCCCCTCCCTGTAATCTTCTCCCCACCTCAGGTTAAATACTTCGTTTCCTTGGGAAGGCTTTTCTTCCCCCCTCCCCACGTGGGTGCATAGTGGTCTTTTATTTTGCCACCATCTGTCAGCACATGTCCACACTTTTCTCCCAAGTCCTGTCAGGTTGCAGTGGTATTCAAAGTTAACCAGCACTCTAACTCTATCATCAATGACATTGGCCTATTTTTTTTTTTTGCCGAGCTGTAAGTTTGTTTCTAAGATCTAGCTCTTCAATATTTGTTGAATACCTCATCAAAATCCCATCAAAATTCTTCACAGATCTGGAGAAGACAATAATCAACTTTATATGGAAAAATAAAAAACCCAGGATAGCCAAAACAATCGTATACAATAAAGAAACGTCTGGAGGCATTACCATCCCTGACTTCAAACTCTATTACAGAGCTACAGTATTAAAAACAGCTTGGTATTGGCATAAAAACAGAGAAGTCGACCAATGGAACCGTATAGAAGACCCTGACTTTAATCCACAAACCTATGAGCA